GAGCTGTTGTTCAGCATCTTAGCTGTGGAGGGCAGTGTCACTGGCCCTCATATGTGGGATCCGAACCGGGGCCCTCTGGCATCCCAAGCCAGCTCTTAAGCAACGCACCACTCGGCCAGCCCCTGATATTTACCTTTATAACATTGTTTATCCAGAGTAATATTTAGAAAAAGCCAAAGGACTTTGTATTTGATGACATTGTGCCCCTTCTTCCCTTCTTTTTTTTTAAGCTGAGCCATCCTGCCACCTGTTGGCAGCTCAGCGGCAGCTCAGCTCAGGCCAGGCATCAAACAGCTATTGCTCAGAGCTGGCATTCTTGAGCGAGCTCTAAACCAACTGAGCCACTCAGCTGACCCTTCCCTTCTTTTTTTGTAATTTCAGGAGATTCCTCAACAGTTGAATGGAAGTGATTGTGGAATGTTTACTTGTAAATATGCAGATTATATCTCTAGGGACAAACCTATCGCATTTACTCAGGTGAGTGAAGACCCTTTCTCATTCACTTTCTTGTTTCTAAACAAGATAAACTTAGAGCGTGTTCCCCGTGCCTGGCGCACATTAAGATCTTAACCATGGTAGCTGTGCTCCTGTGATTATTGTGGTAAACCTTGGCCATGGCCCTACTCTTGGCTAGCGTCAGGGTTTGTCACTGCTTCTGCTCTTAAGTTTATCCTAATCTTTGGTGACCATTGGGACAATCTGCATATCTCTGAAATCCAGTGTTTACTGGTTACTGATATTTTTAGCCAAAGAAGGGGGCATGTCAGAGTATGTGACAGCAAGGGGAAATCAGGCCTTGTGAGAACTTAAGTCACAGTTTTAAGATGTAACTACGAGTACTGCTTTTCTCTTCTGTTCTGGTTTTTATTGGTTCTCCATAGCTCTGCATTTGAGTGGAAATTCAGATATATTGGGAACTCTAGAGAATTTATGTTTGTCATAGTGGATTCTCAACCTTTTTACAACTGAACTTTTTAAAACCCACTTTAAAAAATGATTTTCTTAAACCTCATTTTTGATAGACGCTGTCTACCAGAGTGTACTTATTGAGTAGTAGGACTGATAACCCCATTCCAAGCTTTGGAGCAACATAAAATAACTAGGGCTCCCATGCTGAATTAATACAATTCCAGTCTAAAATAAAGGCAGTTATTATTGGTTAGTTTCCACAGTTTTACTAAGAATAAATGTGCAGTTTTTTTTACTATATCTTTTGAGCTATTTGAAGTAATTTATGAATCCATGTATGAAGACTTTTTAGGCCCCTCCAGTTAGAAAAGCACTAGTTTATAATAAAGTGGTGTATTCAGCTATTTATCGTGAGATACCAGGAGTAAGTACCTCAAGGGTCTAAGCTGATTTCATCAAAAGAGGACTAGTGGAGTTACAGGTGATTTTGGATTTGTCTTATATGTTGCAGCTTTGAAAATTGGCCCATGGAGTGATTATCAGTTAAAGCAGAATAACATTAAGCAAAGCATCTCATTCTTTGATGCTTCTATATAACAAGGGGTTATTTATTTTTTGAACCTATTGACCTGAGCTTTAAAGGGATGAAGTTGCTATTTTAACAGTATTGGCAATGTCTAACATTTGGTAGAATAGAAAGAAATTTGTGGATTTGGTTTTTTTTAATTTTTATTTAAATGGAGCTCATGTTTTTCTCAGAAAAAAGCAGTAAGTAGAAAAGTTACCTGTTGTGCCACCACCTGGATATGCCCATTTTTGGTACACATTTTTGTTATGAGGTTGTTGGACTCTGCTGTATAATTCTGCATTCTGCTTTGATTTTCCTTAACAAGGAAAAGTGATTATGATACATATTAATAAGCATTACAAACCTCCTTTTTTATGGCTTAGAAAATGTGTGCCATGATGTAAAAAAGTCAAGGCTTACATAAAGGACAAGGACATCGTACTTTATTTACATGATTACACCTAAGGGTTGTTGACACTGTGCGTTAATGTGTAATATGCGTGTTGTTTGTGGATTCTTTGCAGCACCAGATGCCTCTTTTCCGGAAGAAGATGGTGTGGGAAATCCTTCATCAGCAGCTGCTGTGAGAATGCCCCGCCCGGTCCCTCAGCTGCTGGTGGTTCTTTCACGGACAGACGTTTCCATATACCTCATGCATTGTGGGTTAAAAAGTCCCTGCTTCACTTCTGTTGTCTCACAGGTACTGAGCTGTCAGAAGTGCATGAAGGCCTCTCCCTGCACCCTCGTCCTGACTTGGTATGCGGAGGGCTGCTTGCGACCCTGTTTGTAAGGCTGTGCCTGCTCAGAGCCCTGGACTATTCAACCCACGCAAGAACAAACGCTAATTAATACTTTTTTTAAAAGAGATTTTTTTTTCCCTATGAATGTGGGAAATGCAGGATTTATTCTATGATTTGTTTTTTTCGGTGTGTTTGTTCACGTGTTTTCATTCGCTCACTCATTTGCAAATGTAATGGGCAGTGGCTGTTTTCTGCTGCACTTTTACAGTTAACTCTGAATTACTTGTTTGAACTATTTATTTCTGAAAAGAATGAAATGTTAATCAAGCTGCCACTCCCTGCTGAAGATCAGGAGGGAAATCAGTGTGTGTGTGGGGGAGGAAGTGTTAATGAACTTCTCTAACGCTGGAGCAGTAACTGCCAACTTGAAGCTGGAGGTCTTTTTTTTGAGGCTTGAAAATTCTGGGAGAAGCGCTGTGGTGTAGGCTCCGATGGCCTTTCAGAGGAAGTCTGACACTACAGCACTGGCAAGGTGTCATGGAAAAGTGGAACTGTGGCCAAGGAACTTGGCTATCCATGCATCTTCAGAAGATTGTCATGGTCATCCTAAAGAGACTTCCGTTTCTGGAAACGAGTTGACTTGGCTACTCTCGAAACTGGATTTGAAGTAACTGTAAACCCTAAATCTTCATTTTCATCCCAGATCTGGTTGAGTATGAACCTCAGAATTGTTAAGAGCTGGCCTGAGCTGTTTATTTCAAAAGATCGATTCAATTTAAAGATATTTTTCCTCAAAGTTTTTTTCTATATTGAAAGCCAAAATTAAGTTTTGTATTCATTAGGATTTACACCCCCCACCCCCATTCCACCCCTACTGAAATTTGTGGAAGAGAATTTAGTAAGTGGCTCTGAGGTTACCAGTTATACAGTAATCTATTTTGCATATGAAAGTTTGTATTTAACTTTTTTGTTCATTAAAAACCTTACAGTGGTTACGCATTTTTAATTTCAGAGAGTTTAGAGTTGGTCAGAACATATTTTGCAAGATCTAGTGCCTAGTGTTGCTTTTCCGATGTAATAAAAGGTTGCCTGGCAGAACCTGAAAAGTATATGCTGAAATGATTTCTAACCCTTTCCCTACTTAAACCTCCCAGACTTGTCCTGGTACACAAAAGCAAGAGGCTAAACCAGAAAAATGGGACACGTGTTAGCTGTGAATCAACATGTCTGCCACCTGGGGGCCATACTCTTGCAGCCACAGAAAAGTATTGGTCTAGGACTGGGGGCCTGTGATGCAGATGGAAACTGCTGGGCCTACTTGACGGCCAAAGCAGAGGACGTGTGCTTAGGTGATAATTAAAGAAGGAGCCGGTTGTGCTGCATCTCCCACAAGCGTAGGCTGCACAGACAGCCCTTCCGCAGCTTCTGCTCCTCTCCGGAGGCTGTTGGAGTGGTGCCAGTGAGTACTGGGATCAGGCAGCTGACACAGCCAAGAAAGAGATTAACTGGGTCAGCATTATGTTCAAAACCTGGCCCCCATTGGGACTAGGTTTCACCTGGGAATGTAGTACCTTGGTTAAGATTTGTTCCATGTGGCATAAATCCTGTTAGGAATGGCCGTTTGTATTCTAACCAAATGAGTGAGGCTGGGGGATGTATTTCTGTTACATTATAAGTATTTGAGGGGCTAAGTAAAGCAGCTTTCATTGAGCTTTCCATTAATGTGCACTCTCACGATAGCTCCTAATAATCTCCCAGGACATAACGAAATAGATAAGAACAGAGAGTTAAGTTAGAGAATGGCATTCTATTGTACTTAACCCTGACTCCCTGAACTTTATGAGCTGTCACAGGCCATGCTTCTCTAGGCACTGATGGGTTTCTCTCGGTGTAGAGAAACTTGTTGGTAATAGAAGTTTTATATCTAAACAGTTTATGAGAAAAGCAGTCAGGTGGTAAAAACAGCTATTGATTTTATCAGTAGCAAATTATCAACATTAAAACCAGTGAGATTTTATGTGTGTGTGTGTGTATATATATATTTTTTATGAGTAGTTTAGGGGTCTGAAAAAAGGTGAAGTGAACCATTCTTTTTTAGTAGACAATCTCTCCTAAAGATTGATAAAGTTGTAAAAAAAACTACTGTTGGTGAGCAAATGTCTTTCTTGTGTTTGACCTTGGACCAGAGCCGGGATGTGGGTGGGAGGGAAACAAACTTGGGGCATGTGGAAGATGTTGTGGAGAGCCCCATATTCTACCTCAGTTACCTAAGGCTATTAGAGCTTCTGATGTCTTCATCCTCTGAAATCCTAAGCACAACTTGGGGAATGCCGTGTCGAGTGGCGGGTGTTTGCACTGTGAGGAGTTGCTTGGTGCTGGGACCAAGGTGTAGGTGTGGGGAAAATGCGTCCTTGGAGATAAATTGAACCTCTGATACAAATAAACAGGTAGAGAAATTTAACTTTGTAATAAGTTTAGTGCTATCATTAAGCTACATTGTTTAAATTGGCTTTTGTGAACTAATTGGGAACCTAATTTCTTTCTGATAGTTTCTTTGAGAAAAAATGCTCAGTACCCAGTATTCAAAGAAACTTTTGATACTTGTTTGTATGTTGGGGATCAAGCTGGCTGTATTGCTCTGATCATTTTTTTCTTTTAATTTACCTAATATATACAAGGAAAGGGTCTGGGTGTTTGAAATAGGTGTTGACTTTATCTACCAATAAATTCCTCTTTAATTCAGTGGGTTTCAAGGTTTTTTGATTGCAACTTATAGTAATAAATGTATTTTATATTGTGACCAATACATACAGGCATATGTATTATGTGACAATATATGGACACAAAAAAGTTTTACAAAAACATTACTTCTAGTACCCTCTGAGTTTTATTGTTTTTTTTTTTTTTAAATGTGGATGGTGACCTCCAAGTTGATTTCTCAATCCACTAGTGGGTAAAATCCAGTTTGAAAAACACCTCTTTAAATGAACCGACAGCAAGATGCAAATTATGTTTAAAACTATACAGCTTGAGACTACAAACATATAATTGTGGGGCTGTTTTGAGATGAATCAATCTAAATCTAGGAAAACAGGCCAGAAACTTTCAGCTCATTGGAAATATGTGGTGTAAACAACTGTTGTTCTTCAGGTTTTTACACCAATATTTCCTAAAATATGTTAAGTAAAAGTCCTATTACTTCTATGTAGGAAGGAAAACAAAGGATTCTATGGCCCAATGAATATGTGTGCTTGTGTGATGCATAGCAAATGTAACAAATTAATGTAACCTAGCATTTCTGCAAACTTGGACATTGAGCACTTCTCTGTGTGACACCTGTGGAACTGTTGTATGGAAACACTCTGGAAAGTGTCAGGAGAAGCAACGTAGAGTTCTTGGAAGCATGTATTTCAAATATACCCTGCGGAAGCATCCTCCCCCACGCTACCCCCAAGCACACATACTGCCTCCTTAAGTGTGCATGGTGATCATAAAGTCTGTGGTCCCACGTAGAGTTTTTTTTAATTGTATCTGTAATAGGTGTTTATAGTAGAAAAATAAAAGAACAAAGAATAAGCATTTTGCAAAGTCACCACCCAGAGTTAAATAACTTTTTTGTTTGTTTTTTAAAGAAATTTTATTGTGAACAGTGTGTTTTTCCAGGACCCATCAGCTCCAAGTCAACTAGTTGTTTCAATCTGGTTGTGGAAGGTGCACCTCAGTGGCCCATGTGGGAATCAAACTGGCAACCTTGGTGTTATGAGCACTGCGCCCTGTGCTCTAACCAGCTGAGCTAACCAGCCATCCCTAAGTAATTCTTAATATTAACATTTTGGTATAAATCCTGGCCTTTGGTATATACTCCTTTGTGTACGTATGAATAAGTGTATGTGTTGTATACACTTGTGCATTAACAAATATAGACATATGATATATGGCTATATAACCCTTTCCCACTTAATTTATCTTGAACATATTTTCATGTCAATAAATACATTGTAATTGCTGCATAGTGTTCCATTATACGGCTATAACATGCTTTATTTAATCCAGTATTATTGGGCATGTACAATGTTTGGGTTATTCTCTTAGGAGAAATTCTTAGAATTAAAATTTTCAAGTTAAAGTTATGTATTTTTTTTTAAATCGGGGAAAAAAGTCACCCATTGATACTTTGACTTTTATTTCTTCTGGCAGTGGATGATTATTTATATCTCCTTTAAGTTTTATATTTTTCATGTATAGGTCTTCTGGTATGTTCATTCTGAGAGATTTAATGTCTCATTTTAGTGGACAATTTTATCTTGTTTTCTAACTACTTTGCAAAAAACTTTATTATGGAATATTTAAGACATGCATACTCCCCCTTCTTCAGCAGTTATTAAAATGTGGCTCATCTGGTTTACTTTCTTTTTTTCAGAGGGGAGGAGAGGGTCTGGAGTATTTTAAAGCAAAACCCTGAGTTGTCATTCTACTTAAATACTTAAAAACGTCTCCCTAATTAGTCATAACAAACAAAAAGCCTGTTATTTTCACATCTAACAAAATTAATAAGAACTTGCTAATATCATCTAATATTACCTTCATATTTAAATTTATCTGATTGTTTCAAAAATATTTTATTATAATCTTCTAATCAGGATATACAGTGGGCTGAGTGATAGCCTCCAAAAACATAAGTCCATATCCTAATCCCTATAACCTGTGAATATTTACTTTCTATGGCAAAGAATGAATGCTACTTTCTATGGCAAAGGATGTGATTAAAGATGTTGAGAAAAGGAATTTGTCCTGGATTATCTGGGGTCATAAGTGCAATCACTTATGAAAGAGAGGCACAGGGAGTTTTGAGACCGAAGAGGCATTAAAATTGGGTTAGGCAGTATTTATATATATGTACACCCCCCCCCACACACACACATATATGTATGTATGTTTATTGGGGATGACAATTATTAGTAAAGTTACATAGTATTTATATTTTATACCCATTTTTGTGAGAAAAAAAACCTGTTTATACATATCTGAAAGAAAATCTGGAAAAAAGATGCCCATGTGTTAATAATGGTTGTCTGGACAGGGTCTGTTACTTTCTACTTTATAAACTTGTGTTTGGAGTTTAAAAAAAAAACAAAAAACAGGAGGAGACTCTGAGACTATGGAAGCAGAGACCAGAATGATGCCACCACAGCCAAGGAAACCTAGAGCCACCAAAGCTGGAAGAGCCTTCAGAGGGAACATGGCCACGTCAATACCTTGATTTTGGACTTCTGGCTCCAGACTGTAAGAGAATTTCTGTTGTTGTAGCCCTTCAACATTGTGGTAGGCAGTTACAGCAGTCTCAGGAAACTAATATAGGGTCCAAATGAAACGTACAAATTGCCTTTGGTTATTATATGTCTTGAGTCTCTCAATAGTAGTCTCCCTCCTTATACTATTATTAGAGAAATTGGGTTTTCCTTTAGCCCTTTGGTGGTGTTTAACTAGTTCTTCTATCCTTTGTATTTAATGTAAACTGGTACGCTGGATCTAGAGGTTTACTTCAGGTTGAATTTATTAGGCAAGAACACTCCCTTCAGTGGAGTCCTGTCGTATATGGCCATAACGTCTGGCTGTCCCACTTAGTGGTGCTGAGATTGATCAGTGGCTCAGCCCCTAAGGGTTCCTATTCATCTTTCTCTTGGTTTTAAATTTAGTTGATGATCATTATTTCATTAAAAGGTACAAAATGGTAAATTTCTAATTCTATCCTTCTGTGTTCATTATTTTGAATTCTATAAAAGAAAAACTTCTTATCAACTATTTGGCTATCCTGAAATGTACTTCATATAGGGAAGAATCTATGATGTTTTATTTCATTGTATTTACTCTTTTTGATGTTCATATTGCCCCATTTTAGGTTCCAGTATCCTTTTGACAGAGCCCAAGTCTAATTTTAATAGCTTCCCTGCTTCACTTGTATGATGAAGGGTCATCTTATACATTTCCTGCCCCAGATCTGGAATTGGCCATTTATTGAAGGATTTCTTTAGTGAGGAATTTTAAAGACCAGAATTTGGACATTATCAATGCTAATTACTACTGGGTTATTGGTGCTTCTAGGCCTTTACGACACACAGATTAGGAAATACTTTTTCTTCAAAGGAAAAAATGTTTTACTGATTTAAATGCACTGATACAATTCAGACGTTAAGATTCTAAGGTTTTTCTTGGTTTTATACTATAATCCTGAAAATATTGGTTGCTAACAACATCAATATAATTATTCATTTTATCCTACAGTATACTTATAATGTCAAAATATCATTATCAGCATAACAGCTAATGGGGCCACTAAATACACTTTGATTTCTTTGCAATTCTTTTTGTTCTTAGACTATATCCCACTAGAGACTCACAGTGAAAATAGTTTTAAAATCCCTTAATTTTTCTCCACGTGATTATGCCATTAACTTGATACACAGTTGGATTCATTTGTTTTTGGTGTGCAGGGATTTGCTTTTTGCTATTTTTTAATTATGTAAAAACATAAACATTAGTTCAAGAGCAACACTACGGAACAAGGTATAGTTTTGCTTGCTTAACTCTGCTCTCTTTCCCTGTATAGATAACTTATTAGCTTCTAACTTTCCCCTTTTTGAAACTATAGCTATATATACAGAGGGTGCCAAAAAAATGTATACACATTTTAAGAATGAAAAAAGCTATTAAAATTGTAATACAATGAATGACACTAGCATTCATTTGATTAAATGCCATCTTTTGAGCAAACGTCATACTACACGTTGCTACCATAATTCAATTCAACTTCGAAAAGTAATACATACTCGTAGATAACATCTCTTAAAATGTGTACCTTTTTTGGCACCCCCAGTATATGTAGTCCTATTTCTTTCCTTTCTTACACTAAAGATAGCATATTTAAAACACTTATGCTTCTTGATTAAAAAAAAAACTTATTCTGGATGTTACTCCTCATTCTTCAGTTCTTTTCAGCTTCACAATAATCCATTGTATCATAACAATCTATAATAAGCCTTCATAATTCAAGGTGCTGTTACCATCCCCTCACAATGGATGTTTAAGCTGTCCATCTATTTCTGTTACAAATAATGGTTGCAGTGCATGGGCCTTGTCATGTCACTTCCTATTTTTGCTAACATTCTCTTTGGAATAGATTCCTAGACGTGGAATTGCTGAGTCAACTATCTAGCATATGTAATTTGCCACATTTCCCTTCCCAGAGGCAGTATCTTCTTGTGTCACCTCAAAGTCTCTCTGCAAAGCCTAAAATATGTACCCTATTTATGGAAAAGGGCTGTCAACCCCTGCCCTGCCACATTGCAGTTCTTAACATCCAGCCAGCAGAGAGGGTGGAGGAGAAAGTGTAGGCAGTTTTTCACAGCCAGGCCTAGGAGTGTCACAGGTCACTTCTGTTCTCATTCCTTGGGCTAGAATAGTCACATGTCCACATGGTACTGTAGGTAGATTAGGAGTCAGTTTGGTCGGGTGTCTAAGAAGTGACCATGGGTTTTTGTTATGTCACTAGTACTCTGCCACAATCATCAGATGTTTTCTTCCCTATTTATGACACTTCATGTTTTGGTTTTTTTTCTCACTGCCCCTATAAACATTTCACATATTTTTGGTCTTTGCTAACATAGTATGTGTTTGGGAACTTTATTATTATCATTACTCTATTTGGCTTCTTCTTCAAGGATGATTTTGATATTTAAATTGTTTTAAATTTAGTTATAATTCAGCTCTAAATTTAGATTTACAACAAGTTAAACATTTCTAGTTTAATTGGTTTCAATACTTTGTCTTTTTTTTAACATGAATTTTATTTGGCTTCATTATTCACTTAAAAACATTTTCACATACTTGTTTTTAAGATGGGCATAGAAATACTCATCTAAATTCTTGCAAATATGAGAATTTTTCCAAAGTTTTCACACATGAAAGGTAACTTGACCCGGTGTGAGAATTCTTGAGTCACAGCCTTTTTTCTCCTCAAAACTTGCTTTCTGCATTTAGTAGTGGAGCAGAGATATCTGAAACTAGCTTGATTTTTGGTTTTGCAAGTAACTTTTATTTTTTATGTATTATTGAGAATTTTTGTTCTATCAAAAAAAATATGCCAGAATTGATCTAAATCTGGGTCTCTCTTTTGTCTAGTTGTATTAAGATACTGGTTTGTTGATATAACAAAGGCCATAAGAACAGTGGTTTAAACAAGATAGAATTTTCTCTCTCAGGTACCAATTTGAGCCTAAAGTCCAGCAGTGTCCTAGTGTCACGGGCTATACTTAACACTTGGCCTCCATTTTAAGATGGCCGTACCAGCTCCAACGTGGCTCTCACCGTCTCATCTGCATTCCATCCAGTGGAAAGAGGAAGCAGTGGGCACATCCTGGGATGGCAAATACGCATTTTCCTATCTTTTAAAAAAAGAGTTCCATGAAACTAGACCGTGTCATGCACTGTAGGTTTCCCACTCTAGTTCTGCATAGCTTATAATTATTGTCCATTTCCCTTGCTTTTTGGTACTGTGTTTTTTTTTTAAGTCTGTTTTTGGTGCTCTTAAGTTTTCATCTTTTTTGATGCTCTCTCTGTGAGAAACTGTTAAGGAGCATTAAAGGCTGCTAACCAGAAGCCATTTTTGACTTGGCGGTCCTGTCTCTTATACTTAAATTGGAATCAAAGACTTCGTCGTGTTCAAGCATTTATTTTACAGATGAGGGGACAGGTATCCAACAGGCCTCCCATGCCTCCCACCAGTGACAGGCTTTTGAAGGTGTTTGATGCAGGAACTGGGGGCTGTGTTCCTCACAATATGATATTTAAAAGCTGAGAGAAAGCAAGTCCTGGAAATGAAGGATGCTGACTGGAGGAACTGAGAGAAGAGGGGATGAGACAGTCGTCTTCAAACATTAGGAGAGTTGGCCCACTGTGTGTGGGTGGTCATAGGGAGAACAGATTTCAGGTCAGCAGCAGGACGAACTGAGACTGCACTGTGCGAAGACAGAACTGCCTACCGTAGGAGCTGCGTTTCCCTTCGACAATGGGGTGGTCAGTTGGAGCGATCTTAGAGGGCATTACTCATATTAGGAAAGTGGACTGAAGGACCTCGGAGGTCCTTCCCCAATACTGCCCTTCTGTGAATCCGGAGTTGAGGATGGGTTTTACTGAGTTCACTGCAGGTGACTGGAGTAGTTTTAACTAGGGGAGAATCAGGGACATTCATGAGTCATAGAACTCAGTGAATCTTTCATATGGGAAATTGTTGAATCCCAGATAAATTGAGAGAGATACCAGATTGAGTTTAGTTTTCATTCAGAGTTTGCCCTGATCACTAGGGGTTACTGTTGGCAAATGGGAGACGGCACTGTTTATTGTCAGCCACATCGGAAAGAATAGGAGGCAGTGCCCTGAAATTGACTAGTGGGGGCAAACCAAGTGCCTTGGACCCATGACCCAAACTGCTGCTTTTACAAAAGAATACAAGGGGCATTGAGGTTAAGCTGAAATATAATTTTGCTCTTTGGGGTTTTCTCTTTATACCAACTGTTTCAGAGCTATTAAGAACACTCCTGGAGATTGGGGGTGGGAGGGCAGTAGATGGGGGAGGTTGTTTCTGTGTGAAGGGTGAAAAGGATAACCATTGCATTGTTCTGTACACCTGAAACTAACAACAACAAAAAAGAACACTCATTCTGGCTTCTAGAAAGACAGTGACTTTATGTGGCTGATGTGAGCTAGACTAGAAATTAACCTGCATGTGGGGTGTTAAGTTTGAGTTCATCAGCACCTTAAGGGGAATGTCGAGAAGAAATCAAAGGCAGCAGCAACAATCGCCAGTAAACATCAGGGGAATTTGCTAGTAGTGTTACTAAACAGTGGTAGCAGGCCACAGAGATCTCCATTAGGCTCTAAGACAACGGGAGACTTGGAAGCATGTACAGTTTAGGCTAGTCTCTACATACCTACAGTTGTGGCCTTCTTTCATAATTGTTACTAGAGGGATGCCTCGATTGCCCACTTCCTTCCCCAGGGATGTAGGAATGATGAGGCCAAATGCTTTTCATATTCCTCAAGTCCTTATCCCATCTCTGTCAGCGTAGCCACTGTCATTCAGATCCCAATGGAATCCAGGTTATCAATTTTCCCTGCTTCTCTTAAAAGCCCAGTGTTTCCTCCCACCCTGCCTCTTGTCCTGTCAAGATGCCTTCTTCCTCTCTAGGGCTAATCATTCCCTGTGGTTCTTTGTTGAAACTCCTCCAAACTTCTATCAAGTCTCCTTTTTCTCATGTTTGTAAGCTCTTCTTCTATAAGCTGGAATCCTCTTCTAATCTGCAGCCAGCCTCTGTCATCCTTTCCAGAGCTCTGTGTCAGAGGAGACAAGCATGTCTTGAGGCAGAGTTGGGGGGAAATTAACCAGGGCAGAAGGGGTGTTCAGGCCTACTTACCATGTCTAACGATATGTCAGCACATTCAAAGCCAGTATGAGTCATTGGGGTTTCAAGGGGTTCAGTCCAAGGGAGCAGAGGGGCTTTGTTATTGGTTTCTGTCTCCACTTAACTGTCCTTTTATTTTGCATAAAATCATGTTCGATTATGACTTTCTGGGATGTCAGGATGTCTTGTCAAAACAGGAGAAGTCTGGGATTTATAGCAGAAGAAATTAGTACACTTTGTCCCAGTCTGAGTCCACGTGTGGTAAACAATCTACACACACAGATCTGTTCTTATTTACAGAAAGGTGGGATAGGACTGACGTGGAAAGGATGGTCTCGAGTTCATGCTGCCCTCAGGAAGCTCAAGAGACCTTGAGCCCAGGTGCTAACTAATCCAGCCCAGCCCTTGGGGTCTTGGAAACTGGGTTGTGAGAACATCTCTGCTTAGGAACAAGGCCAGCTGGTCTCATTCCTGTCTCCTGCCTCTCCATGTGGCTTCCCCTTCAGGGCTGCAACCACAGGACAACTTCTGGGGGCTTTGTACCAGGGCAAGTCAGTGGTCATGTAAGCACTTCTTTACCTGTCTTTCTCTCATATGCTCAGAGACAAATATGGCAGTGGGTAGTTTAGGAGCTAGAGTTAAACCTCATTCTGCCACTGGGAATAAAGGCCAAGGAAGGACTGGGCAGCAGAGCCACGAGGGTGCATTTTTGGAGGTTCCTGTGTCTCTTCTCTCCCACCCTGATTCCTCCTCATCTTGACAGATTCATTACCAAGCCCTCAGGCCTGTATTTAAAGCCCTTCCTTTAGAGATGTGCTGTTTCTCTGTCCATCTGACATGCACACCTCAGCCCAGGGGACAGTTCTCAGGAATAACCCTGGTTGTCAGGAATCCCACGGCTTGGCTCGGGCCATCAATCTGTTGTTTCTCTCCCTCCGAAGGCAGTGGACTTGAGTTCTAGGTGGCAGAGGAGAGAAGGTGAAGGCATAGGTACTGGGCTTTATAAAGGCCACACAAAGACAGAGACTCTGTCCCTGCCCATATTCATGCCACCATAGCAGTGAGAGGAACAGCTGGCATCTACATGCCATGAAACTAACTTTCAAAGTAAAATCAGCATCACAGACACTGGACATAATGGGAAAATCAGAAGTAGGGATGGGACTTCAGTGAGGAGCAAATTTTAACTGATTTAGGAGACCTCAGAGTTTGTTAGAAGGGAAATGTGGCTCCTTTAGCTCACGTGCTTCTGTGCTATGAACAGCTGCAATTACATATCAGCTCTTTATTCCTAAGACTGCCTGGACTTTCAGCAGCTCTCTCCGTTCTATGTTCACAAATCTGTGACGATAGGCTGATAAATGGAGCAGGACCATCCCCGTCCACCCTTTCCACAGCGCACTGGTGAGAGTGCCAATTACAGCGCATCCTCCAGTCCCGGGCTGACCCTGCCCTTCTCTGATCTCTTGGAAAGCTTTCAATCGGGCTTCTGGGGAGGGGTGAAGTACCTGTGTCCTTGAATGTCAGGCATGTCCTCTCCCTTTCTCCCACTTTCCCTGGCTGGGTTTAAAGTCCATAAAAGATAGGAGCTGGTCTTACCTAGCTTGAAACACAAGTCAATCCATCCATTCCTCTGGTCCTGTGGTTCTCAAACTTTAATATGCTTGGGAATCACCTGGCGGGCTTGCTGAAACGGACTGCTGGGTTCCCACCCTTAGAATTTTTGATTCAAGGTGGACCCCAAGAATCTGCATTTCTGACAAGTTCCCAGGTCATATTGCTACTGGTCTGGGGACCACACTTGCAGCACCGACCGACCTAATGTAGCTTCTCCAAAAGATCTTCCTGGAGAAGCCAGCCTCCTCGGGGTAGCTGCCCAGTCCTGACAATATGTTGCCCGTTTTCCTAAGTCCCCACAGAGCTGGGGCTTAGCTGACACTTTGGGATGGACAACGCTTATTAAAACAGACCAAGACACCAGATCTTGTTAGCTGGATATATTTCATTTTTTTTTTGTTTGTTTGTTTTTGTTTTTGTCACAGAACACTGTTTGCAGTAGAGGAAACTGGCATTGCAGTCTGGTGGTAAAATGGCTTGTTCACATAAACCAGTACATGTCCATCCTTTAGCGCAAAAAGCCCTAATGGCGCGTACCCTATTGAAAGTCAGGACATCTCCAACATTTTTCTCTCTCTGTTTTTCTTTGTAATTTTTTTTTGTTTTTGTTTTTTTTTTAATAAACATTTTCAAGGTTTGTCCAAAAGAAGGCCATATAGGTTCTTGGCTAGCGGAAGACAATTCAGAACAGTTGTTGCACACTTGGACTGTCACCTTTTCCAGGCTGGCAGTTGATATCTTAGTTTTTTTTCCAACTCATTTTTATTAAAAAAATAAAAAAATGCTCCAACTATCAGTTTTACAAAATCTCTAAGGGAAACACAAGAGCAAGGTGCTGAGGTAAAAAACACCTGAGGTAGCTTTTTTTGTGTGTTTTTCTCGTTAAAAAAAATCTGTAAATTTAACGCCCTGGGCCAACGACCTCGTGTAAATTGCTATTTTCTTCCACTTTTTTTTTTTCTAAAAAAAGAAAAAAATCATTTTGCTGAAAATTGATGGCTTATACACCAAAATGTAAAAAGACAAAATATATTCTTTCTTTGTGGACTTTTTCTTTGTTTGGTTCATTTGGTGGGTTCCTGTTTTCCTCTTCCAAAATGCTAGGACAAGTACCATTGACTCTTGTTCTTTTGAGTAACCAAGTGTAAGTTGAGGCTGGTTTGTGTGTTCCGTGTTTGTTCCTTTTGTGTGATGTGATACTCAGAGCACTGCTTTGCCTGGGGGGAGGGGTGTGTAGGTAGGGGGTGGAGTCAGAGGGATGAGGGAATTAAAAAGAATGGGGATGGAGAAGAAAGGGAGGGGGACAGAAGAGGGGAGAGATAAACAGAGAGAGACAAAGAATTATATAGCAGTATGCAAAAACCAGTTTAAAACCTGTGAAGCAGAGAAATGGGTGTGTGAGCTGGACAGGGACGAAGAGAGAGTTTCCTCTTCAGAGAGACGGTATCCCTTCTGTTGACATACACAGGTGATCCAGAACTGCTGTGAGTGTCCTTTTGATGAGATTTCCTTCTGGGTGAATTTTGTGTGGGTGGCCTCGAAGCTCCTGACTAAACCATTAGGCCTCCCAAAGAATGACTTTCTTCTTTAAAGACTAGAAAAGACTGCTTTCTCTTTAAAAAAAAAAGAAAAAAAACATTAATAATCGATTAAAAATGGGAGTTAGTTGAGTTATTTGATATATTATTTCTAGAATATATTAACGCTGCAGGCACCCTGTGTAACCCACAGGCCACATATCTTAATCTTTCCCTTTCTAATATGTACACACATGTACAGAGGCAATTTTCCACAAGAAGAGAAGTGTGTGAATTTTGCTTTGTTTTGAACACATTCACCTATGTTAGTTCAACTAAAAGGGATAGCGTGGTGGGAGTTAAGGAGAGATCCGAGTGGATGGTGAAGTGGATGGCCGGGAAGCCTGCAGAGGCCCCGGGGGAGACGGGGGAGACGGGGGGCTGCGCGGTGAGCCAGCTGCCCCCGGCCCCCTCCTGGCCCCCATGGGTCGCAGGGCCTCCGCAGACTTCTCATTCCTCAGGATGGTCTTTGGTTTGCTCCCGATCCGGCTGGCTGTGTTTGGTCTCGTTCCGTCAGGTGTTGGAAGGGCTACATTCATCCGTTGTTTTGCTGGTGCCTGTGGGAGCCTCACTTGCTGCGCTGTGAGGCGACTCCCTGAGGGTATTTCTGCTCCTGCTGCTTCACCTGCTGTACAATTTCCCTGATCTTGCGCTGTGCAGTCTGCAGCAAGGGGAGGAGGGGGACGGGGAAAACAAAGGAACCCGGTTCTGAGGACAAGCAGTGGGGAGCGGGGGCAGGGGATTTGGGTGGAAGGGAGCGATCCACATAAGCCACACGATGTAAACAAGCCCACTGTAGGTCCCCAAGCAGGGGATTTGGGGGGAGGGGGTGGTAAGCTCAGGAAAGTCATCTGCCCACTGAAGCCCTTCCTCCGGGGGCCCTGTCTGGCCTGGAGGTGAAGTAGCAGAGCTTCCCCTCACTCCAACCCCAGGGCTGCTGGGTGGAGGGTGAGTGGGACCCCAAAAGCTTCCAGCTAGTTGCTGGACAGACAGGCCAGAGAGCAGACACCAGAAACCAGTGACCAGGGGACCTTGCCGAGGTCACACAGCGTCCCCCTCCCGCCCTCACACACTTCAGCTTCCAATGCTGTCCACCCCGTTTCTAGAGTCACTAGGAAGAACATTAGTGTGACTGCTGGGAGAGAGGATAGAGGATGAGGGGGCAGAAGTGAGAAACTGGCCGAGACACTCCATCCTGGACGACTGGAGAAAACACAGGAACCCCACCCAGTGCTCCCAATGCAGGGAGACCCCTGCAGGAACCTGGGGGCACTGCTGGAGCAGGGGTGTGAGAGCAGCCGAGTTGGGTGCGGCCAGGAGTCTGACTGCGGGCATCTCAAAGGGCACCGGCAAGGTGTGGTGGGCGAGCCGGTGCCTCCCGCCTGCAGTCAGGTCTCTGGGCAAAGGCCCAGCCTTGGGAGAGCAAGCTGGCCGCTCAGAGAAATACTCCACGTGAGCTTAGACTGCCTACACTGGTTTGGGACAAGGACCGGGACTGCTCTAGCCCAAAACCCAACCAACAAAAAGCATCAAAAAGAACTAGGCCCCGTGATGCCGAGTCACTGGCCATCCGAATGAAAGAGAAGCAGCCGTGAGGAGGCTGTGTCCTGATGGGGGGATGGGGAAGGTGAGGAAAGAAAAATGACGGTCTCTTGTGACGAGCATTTAACCCGTAATTGTGAGATCCTGGCACCCAGGCCCGCCCTTGGGGGGCTCCAAGGTGGGCCCTGGCCTGTTATGCGGCTCCCAGCATAGGAAGGCTACGAATGAGGCCCGAGTAGGAGGGCAAGGAAGCCAAGACCTTGTACTTTGGAATATCAGGGGCCTTAAAACGTGCTTGGCCTGACCCCATAGTTCTGTAGTCTTCCTCAAGCTCCCCTCGCACGCCTGGGGGAGAGCAGTGGTGAGAGGGTATGGGACAATCTCCTGTGCCCTGACGACAGTGCCTGCAGGGCCAGGGAGAGGTTCTGTGGGTGGGGCTGGGGTGGTGGTGAGGGTGTGCAGGGCCTGTGGCCACCTGACAGGCCACCGGGAGCTTAGAAGGAGAACTGAGGCGACTGGCAAGAGCGCCCAGACCCTCGCAGCGCAGGTACCTGGCTAGCAAAGAAATGCCCGATAATTCTGACGATCACTTCCTCGTTTTCATCCGGCGTTTGGTCACGAGGCACGATGACCTCGGCACTGGTTAAGTTCTGCAGTTCATTCACCTGTGAAGGGAGGCGTGGGCTCAGGAGGAAGCAGGAGAGGGGAGTGGGGGAGGGCAAGGAGGCTGGAAGCCGCTGGCCTTTCCTTCAGGCTACGAACCCCCTGGGGGCGTCCCTGCCTCCAGGCTCATGGGGCCATGTTGGTTTGGGCCACGGGAGGCACAGTGACAGGAGGGGGAGTCCAGCTCTGGGGCTGAATTCTTATTCCCAGTTCCTAGCAGTGTGGTTCCCGCACATGCTCACAGTGACCCCAGACTCTCCAATAACCCAGGGATGGAAATCCCTGCCGGGCATGCTCTCCTGGGTGCCAGCGATGCGCCGACATGGCCTCTCCTCTGACTCACCAAAGTGACCTTTCCTTTCTGATCAGTCCCTGCTCCAGTCCTGCTCTTTGTTTCCACTCCTGCCTGGGTCTTGCTTATGCGGTTCTACCCGTGAGTTATCTTTTCCCCCTGCCCTCCTGCGCCTGGGCCCACCTCCTCCATGAAGCCTCCAGCCCACGCTGACCTCCCCTTACCTAAACCCCGCTTCCTGCACTCCGCACCTGGTGCTCCTCACCTGCCCCAACAAGACTACACTTCCCGAGGGTTCGTGCCCCGGCCGTGGCCGACAGTGCTGAGCACGCCCATGGGGTGGACAGTTGACAGTCTCTGGTACGGGGGATGTACACAGAATTTGGCTCTAAAATGACTGAACAGGACATGGAAGGGTCAGGATTCCACTCCCTTGTGGACTACTTGCTTTCTTTTGCCTCCTACACTCCAACTTCCCTAAGCTCGGTGTGTGCCCTCAGAGGCTGACCACGTTCCTTCATATGGGGAATAACATGCTCGCCATGCAACTGGGCTCTTTTACATATAGATGACTCATTACATCTAGAACTTGGCTTTGATTCCTTTGTGAGAGGTTCTATGTAAAGAACTCTGTCCCCTCTGTCCCCCCTCCTAATTCCTGTCCCCCAACACTGCCACTTTGCTAGCCTGCACACCGCTACTGGAACTTCCCAGGGGTCATATGCCCGCCAAGTTGGGTAAGTGACATTCTAGAACATACCTGGGTCTGACAGGCTGTCTGCTAATTCCTACAGGCTTCAGTTAATTCTCTGATGCTTTTCAAATTACACCGTGGTACGGCCACCTTCAGGTTGAAACCGTTATTTAAAAAAAAAAAACGATTTCCTTCTCACCCGCCACCTTATTGCTGAATGAGCACCCCTGTAGCAGATGGCCAGGTTTGGGAAATTGCCCGAAGACTGACTGTTAGGAGGAAGAGTGAGGCCTCTAGGGCATTTGTCAGGAGAGTGAAGAGCGGAAGAGCATGCTGGACTCCAGACCCCAAGGGCCTCAAGTGTGAAATCAGAGAAGACGGTGGGTGGGCTGCCAAGTGGATGCACCCTAAGTGGGCCTGCGGTCCCTATTATTTCCTGCTGCCATGCGTGGCTGTAAAGGGGGCGGGGGGCAGCTTGCCTGTGTTCACAGGCAGCTGAGGGGCAGGGTCCTGGGCTCAGGACCCTGGTGTCTGGGGCCCATATTGAGCTCCAGGCAGCACCATGGACTCGGGCCCTCAGCTCTGGAGTGATGCTAATTCCATTTCTGTCCTTGAAGAGCCAATGGAGGTCTGAGGAAGTCAGGCAGGGCAGGGGGTTAGCCCCAGAAATGAAGCCAGCTCAGAGCAAACTTACGGTTTTGCCACCCTTGCCGATCACCCGGCCAGCTGTGGAGGAGGGCACTCTGATGTGGGCTTCCAGCTTCACCTCCTCTTTGGGGTTAAAGAAGTTTTCTTCTTTCAGTTTCCCAAAGATCCGCCCCTGGGCCTGAGAGAGCAAGACATGACTGGTGACGCTCACAGCTGCCGGCCCCCCTGCCTCAGCAGTACCGCGACTGGAAGTCACGAGCCCAGCCACTGCACACCTCAGCCTGACGCACTCAGGCCAGACACAGGGCAGCGTGCGCCCCGCTGCAGCTCCTGCCACATGCAGAGCTCACTGTGCAACGCGTGCTCGGGCACCTCCTCTAGGAAGCTTTCTGTATGTTGGGCTGGGGCTGGTGGTGAGGAGGCAGACCATATGTCATGTCTGTATTCCTAGCACCTAGGAACATATGCTTGAAGAATTTGTTCAGGGAATTCTTCATTTCCTCCCACCATGGTATGTTCAGACCTGATGATTACAGGATATAGGTGAGGATGGTGGTGATGGGATTTAATGAGCCTGATCTGGCTTTTTAGTGTCTTAACTCCAAAGCCAGTGGAGCCAAGGGATTATTGTTCTTTAAAACAAAAACAAACAAAAAAAAACCCACTTAAAAAAAGAGCTATAATTACCTAAAATTCATCATTTTACAGAGTAGACTCCAGTGGTTTTTAGTGTATGCACCATGTTGTACGACCATCACCACTATCCAGAACATTTCCATCTTTTCCCCCAAATAAAACCCCTATTAGCGGCAAGCCCCAATTCTTCCCAACCCCCATCCCCTGGCAACCACTATGCTAATTTCCATCTTTCTGGATTTTCCTTTTCTGGACCTTTTTTAAAATTTTTACTTTTTAAAGATTTTATTGAGGAATTGGGGCAGGGGAAAAGCATTGGGGAATCGGGGAGGGGAACAGACAAGTTGCTGTCCTTTTGTTCTTCAGTCTAGTTGTGGAGGACGTCGCTTCACTGGCCCATGTTGGTATTATCATTGCACTCTTCCCTGCTGAGGCAGTCAGTTGCCAGCCATTGGATGGCCACCCATGGCGGCTCACAGCAGCTCTCGCCAGCAGCCGGCCAGCCGCACTGCAGCCCACGCCGGCTCACAGCAGCCCAGCTCCAGGTCAAGCTGTTGTTCACCATCTTAGCTGTAGAGCGCAGTGTCACTGGCCCTCATGTGGAATCTGAACCGGGGCCCTGCTGCTCAGAGCTGGCGTCCCAAGCCAACTCCTAACCAACGCGCCACTCGGCCGGCCTGGACATTTCACATAAATGAAATCATATACTATGTGGCGTTTTGTGTCTGCCTTCTTTCACTTAGCATAATGTGTTCTAGGTTCACCCATATTGTAGCTTGTATCAGTTTCATTCCTTTTCATGGCTGAATAATATTCGATTGTGTGGACAGACCACATTGTTTATCCATTCATGAGCTGAAGGGTTATTGCTCTTAAATGGTTCCACATGTGTTAAATTTTGTCTTCTCAGACAAATTTTATATATTTTTAATTATAAGAATTATACTTTTATAAATAAATATGTTTCTGAATTTTAGAAAACTCAAGTTAATATAATTTTCTAGGGAAGGAAAATAGGCAAAAAACAAACAAACAAACCAAAAAAAAAAAAAAAACCACCCAACCACACCATGCTATTTCCCCGTGTCCCCCATGTTTATGCCCCCATAGCCTGAAGGGTACACTAGACTAAATGAGTCTGAAACATCCATTCTCCAAACCATGGCCAAGGGATCAGCGAGATTCCAGAGGCACCAATGGTGAACTGGGCACCAATGGACAATCTCCTTTTCCAAGGGAGAAAAGGGAAGGAGGGCTCCAAGCGGAGGAAACGACCTGGAGGCGGGAAGACAGGGCAAGTCTGAGGCTAGAGAGCAGTAGCAGGAAGGGAGATGGAGGTTGGGTCTCCAAAAAAGAGCCCTGAACATGCCTGAGGTGGCTGCAGCCTGCTGAGAGGCCCTCAGCTACCCCACTCCCCACCCCCACACACACCCGGCCCTGTTCCCAGGGCCTGCAGGGCTCAGGTGGCCCTTGGCACCGACCTTGAATTGGGCTTCAGGTGGTCCGGTGATGATGACCATCCTTTCGCTGACGTCTGGGCCTTCCGCTGGGGCAATCTGCAGTTCACAAGGACAAAGGAGAATGCTGCTGCTCGGCGGCACCCAGAGCCCCTTCCTTGTCTTTGCACCCGATACTCTGTTTGACCCCTGCTGCCTCCACTCTGTGGCTTAAGAAGTCGGGACCGTCGTGCCCAGTGTCTAATTTGGGTCTCTGGTTGCCCAGGGAGAGCTGGCAGCAGGTCAGTACTTACTGCCTGTCCCTGCCCCAAGCACCAGCAGTGGCTGGCTGCCTTTCACCAAGGGAGTCCAAAGCTCTAGGAAAAGGAAAGCACAGGCTGTGGGGACCCACCAAGGGCCCGGAGAGGAGAAAGGGCTGGTCCACAGAGGCCTTAGCTTGCAGGAAAGGTAACCCCGGTTCTAATTTTCAGCAATTGCCGTCAATTGCATTCGGCTGCAATTGACAGCTGAGCTAGAGCAGGTGTAATTAACAGAAGGGCTGAAAGGCTAATTCACGATGCATGTTGACCAAGTGAGCTCTGTCGACACTGTCCACTTCCTGGTGATGCATGGCTGCTTTGTTCAGATTTTGAAAAGACCCCCACCCTCCCATGCTGCCCCTCAGGACCCTATTGTATCACTGAAGCAAATGGGACCCAGAGAGGTGAGGTGACTGCCAAGCTCACAGGGTAAGCAGGGTTTGGAGCGAGATCTGGAATTAGATGACCCCGGCTGGCGTCATTGACTGGACTTTGTGTGGCATTCTGAAGCCTGCTGAGCAGACTATGCAGGAGAGGGGAGCGATGCGAATCCAGCTCCTGTAACCAAAGCATCTCTTGGGGTGCTCCATCCCGAACCTCCGCTCCGCCCACCTTCCAGGACTCTGTTCCCACATATTAGTGTAAAGCCCTCTCCCTTCCTTGGTGGCATCACACCGGCACCCCTGATTGTGGCCCCTGAAAACTGGCAACGCAGGAGCAGGGGTTCTCTGGAGTTGGTGAGAGCGCCTTGCTTTAGAGACAGATGCTTTAGAAACCTGCCAGAATAAAGAGAATCTAGCAAAAACCAGGCTGATTTTAAAAAGTAGGAAATTGCTCTCACATATACTTGGCTTCCCTGGTTTTGTCTCTTTTTTACTGCTCTGGAGAGAGGCAGGGACTAGGGAGGAGCTGGCTGTTGGCCCCGCGTAACGAATGTCTGCAGACCACCTGGCTGCAGAGCCCATCCAGGCCTCTGGTACAGTCCTGCTGTCTCTGTCCATCACAGAGGTCATCAGCAAGGTGACACGCCACGACTCAGCCTTGCTGGGACATGAAGGGATTATGGGGATGCTGTGGGGTGAAGCCCGAGGGATTGCTCTCTCCTCATTTTCTTAAAGACTGGCTGGGAACGGTTCTGGTATAGCACTCGGGTTGTTACGCTGGAAAACCACTGGACCAAAAATAGGATAACCTGGTCAAACCTCAGCTCTCACACACAGCTTCGTGGCCTTCGCCAAGTCACTGAAAGTCTCTGGGCCCTGGCTCCTTACGGGCAACAGTAAGTGGAGAGCCATTGCTGTACTGTCCCAGCAGGTGCTCCATATGCTACAGGTCAGCAGAGTTTACACCGAAGAGCCAGTCCTGCACCTGTGCTCCCCTCTATCCCTCTCTGTCTCCCTTAGGGGAAAAATGGGAAGATTTGATGAGCTGATCCCTCAAGTCTCCTTTAGGTGAAATCATCTCATTCTGTCTCCTGCGGGGCATCTCAGACCACAGGACTGAAAACTGGGAGAGGCCCTGGGGTACGGCCAGCCCTGTGATCTTCCACACCTTACTTGTCCCATCACGGGGGCGAGGCCAGCGCGGCCTGGGCCAGGGTCTCACCTGCAACGAGCCTGTTAGGTGCAAGGGCCCCTGGGTACTCCACAACTGTCCCCCCACACCTCAGGGCTCTCATCCAGTCTATCCACTCTGCAGGTGAGATAAATGAGGCCTGGAAGGGGAAGTGATTTACCGAGATAAAATTCTTTTAGGGTCTCACTACAACCCTTGTTGTGCGCTAATCAGAATGTTTTGTTTTTTTCTTTCTAGCACACTCGCTGTGGGAGAAATTACAGCTCTTCTTGGGGAGAAAGTGTAAGCATTCTTTCTCTCCAAGTCATGAGACCTCTTTTTCGGAATTCCGGGCTGTCCCATGGTAGCACATTATTTTACGTAACAACGGAAACTCTGTTTCCGAAAGTGTTTCACGAGGCTTGGGACGTGCTCAGCATTCTGCCCGTGAGTCAGAGCTGATAGCTGGGCTTGGAGCAGGACCAGGGTCGAATAAGCCTTCCCTTTCAGCTTCTCTGACGAGTCTTCACATTGTGCTGGCGGAGGCAGGATGTGGGTATGTAACTGCAGCTAGGGCTGTGCTCACAACCATCCCCATAAATCAAGGGGCATGCCTTCCTTCTTGAGCCGCTCTCTGCAGTCCAAGGCTTCAGCTCAGGTTATGCCACCAGCTTTTTGTTTATCTATGGTGTGTCGTCCATTGATTTTCAAAGAGTTTTTCACTCAAGCTATTTTTTTCAAAGCTCAAGGCTTTTTGAAGCGGAGACTAAGTTAAAGCATCCAAGTGCTGATAGCTGCTAAGTGGGAGTTATCATCCCACTTAAGTCTGTTCCCTTAGCTTAGGGAAGATCCTCAGCCTTTCTTTGGTTTATCTTCTTTTTTTTTAAAGATTTTTATTGGGGAATTGGGGGAAGGGGAGCAGACAAGCTGCTATCCCCCTGCTCCCCACTCCAGCCATAGAGGACGTCGCCCCACCGGCCCAAGCCGGCACCATCACTGCGCTCCTCCCTGGCGAGGCAGATCTGCTGGCCGCTCACGCCAGCCGCGGGCCACACACGGCAGCCCATGGCAACCCACTGCAGCAGGGGCTGCAGCCCAGCTCCAAGTCGAGCTGCCGCCCAGCATCCTAGCTGCAGAGGGCAGCGTCACCGGCCCCCCCGACATGTGGGATCCAAACCGGGGCCCTCCAGCGCCCAAGCCAGACCCCAACCATCGCGCCACTCGGCCGGCCCTGGTTTATCTTCTTGAGAAGGGGAGGACAATGGTAACCCAGAGAGGACTGGGGTAGCTTATCTGGTATTAATCCTTTTTTCTAATTCAGTTGTTCGTTGAACAAAAAATGGAATAAGAGAGGTAAAGATGAGAGCAGGGTGGAATAGTCCTGGAGGCTAATTTTTCAGATCCTGTGGGATTTTGTCCTTGGATGGATAGGAGTTGCCCAGGACTGACAGGAGGAATAAGGGACATGCAGTGGGAGGTGGTGGTAGAGGAGCGTGGGGTACAGGTGGCTGCTGAGAGCAGCTTTACCTTGATGGAGGCGCCGGCGAATCTAGCCAGCTGTTTGATGTGCGCCCCCTTCTTCCCGATGATGGCCCCCACAGCCTGGGTTGGGATGAAGAGATTCACAATCTCCTGCTCCGGATACTGGAAGGCCAAGACAAGACAGAAGACGTCATTCCCACTGGGGTTGCTCCTTCAGGGAGTTACCGAGCGTCTACTGTGAGCCACAGGGTGGGGTGGCCACACCCAAGAAAATGGCCCAAATGGTGCACAGATTCCTCTGTGGCCTGGGGCTCTGCAGACGGGAAGCTTGAAGAATGCACCTGAACACAGGCACGCATGACACGACAATCAACATGCAAACTCCTCCTGAGCGTCTCCGCATTTCTTGGATACCGGAAGCTATCCGTTCACAGGTTTTCTGCCACATACAAATGTGATGTGTTTCTCCTGTGTCTTCATCCAAGAAATCATTACAGTTATTACATGTACCTGGCCTGAGCCCAGGACTCGGAGGCACTTTGTTAGGAGAGAATGGAAAGCTGCCGCGTCCACCTTGGAGCCAAGAAAGGGCATTTTCACTGGCGTGGCACCATATTCCAAACAAGCCGGCAACTACACCTGCCCTGCCCAGGTCGCACGGTGACAGCCCAGGCAGCCATGGGCAAGGCCACCAGGGGACCCTTGCTCTAGGGGTCTGTGGAAACGACATGACCGCATTTACTAGGCTTTGTGCAAAGGTCTTTGGAAACTGTTTTTTACTCCATCACCACCCCTAATCTGACCTGTTGAAGGCTCACTGGCACCCGTTTTCTGCCCCCTACAGGACTTTAAGCATCAGCAGGATGGCTGGACGGGACAGCACCAGCACTGGGAAGTGCCTCTAGTGCACGTGAATGCTGGCAAGCGTGGTGTGCTGATGCCCTATGATGTGTCACTCTCAGAACGATCCGGAACCACGGGACCCAGCACTGACATGGAACATTCACTGGTTAGTCCTCCAAGGACTACGTGGTGCCAGCCATGGGAGAGGGGAAGTGGCAGGTGGGGCTGAACCGTGGGGCACTTACCGAGTGATGATGCGGGAACGGGCCGAACTGGTGAGGAGGGTACAAACTGGAGAAGTATCCGGAGTGGGTCTGCAGCATGACAGAAACAGTCAGTCAGACGGTGCCCTCAGGGCCACTCACCAAACCTAGGGTGGCAAATTACCACATGCGACATAGGCTCTCTGCAGCATCACCTGACCCCACGGTCACGTCTACAAACCTGTCCCTCTGCAGCCCAGATCTCTGCTCCACTGGCCCCTGAGAGCACTGGGCTGTGCTGAATGTTTAGTATTTCTAGCTGAGCCATGCTTTAGGCTCCTAGGAGCTTACCATGGAGTGAGTGCGTGCGTGTACACACACACACCACACACACACCCGCCCCCATTCTTAACCTGTCCTCAGGCAGGGCCGGTGGATTCTATGTTCTGGGGAATTATGAACAGTTGATTAAAACAGAGTGTGCTAGGACAATATCCAAGAGCTGTTGGGAGTTACGGGACCTAGCTTTCATCTGAGGGCCACTGAGCACATTTCATGGTGGCCTCCATCTCCTGAATCTCCAGCTGGACTCTGAGCTCCAGATCACAACTTCACCTGATGACTCATTAGGGACAAAATGAAACGGTTCCATTTATGAGCCTGGAGAGTGGACTGGCCTCGGGGGGAAGAGATATGCTAACACTGTGGCCCCCAAAGGTGCTCTAGATGCCCACGGCACTGGCGGGGACTTTTAAGATTTGGAAAGAGGCTGCAGTGACACCTCATGCCCACAAGAGGGAGCTATGAGACCAGCGTTCTCTCGGCAATTTCCAGTTTTGAAAAAGGAAGCTAAGCGAATAGGTTTGGCTCACTTGGTCCTGCCTCTTTCTTGAAGAGCATCAACACCAGACGCCCTCTCCGCGCAGGTCCCTGTTCTGGGGGCTGTCCTGGGCCATGGAGGGTGGGGGCAGAATTCCTGCAGGTTTTCTGCTCAGACAAAGCTCTACCTTGGGGAAATGACTCTTCTACCCTCCTCTCTCCTAGACAGCCTTTCCTTTAGCCCTCAAGGCAGAAATAATTCTTTTGAATTGTAATTTGCCTTTTCCTCACAAAGACTTAGGTGAGGCCAAGGACACAAAGGCCACAGTGTCGCTGTTATTCTGGGTTCAAATACTCCCAACATAAATACTGTATTAAATTTAGATCTACCACTTGAGTTAGGAGAGAGAATTCGCTGTAAAAGTGTACAAAGAACATGTGTACTCCCTACTCCTCTTTTTATTCATGAGTTACTGCAGCTGGGCAATTATTATGGGGCATGAACCCTAAACCCTGAATCAGGAGCTCGTTTCTACCCGAGGCTCTGCCATTTGCCTTTGTGTATGTAAGCTGGTTTTTGCAGTCAGAAGACTTAGAAGACCTGAGTCTGAATCACTAGCTCTATACAAGTTGGAATAATTTATTCAGCCTCTCTGAACCTAATCCACAAATGGATTAAAATAATATCTAGATCTTATAATCTTGTTGTAAGGGTTCATTCATTCACACAGAAGATATCTGAGCACCTACTATATCTGAAGCATTGTTCTAGGTGCTGGGGACACAGCTATGAAGACAATAAAGGTCATTGCCACTATGGGTCTTACATTCTATTGAGGCGGCATACAAACACCATGAAAAAATTGAACAGGATGTTGTGAGGAAGAGAAGCTGCAGAGATGAGGGTTGGGATGGCAACCTTAGCTGGAGGGGTCCAAAGACTCTTGAAGGAGGTGACCTCTGAGTTGGGACCCCTGGAGGAGATGGAGCCCCATGCAAGGCACGAGGGAGGGAACATCCTAGCAGGGTTTTTAGAGGTCCAGAGCTTGGAAAGGAGTTGGCATGTTTGAAAAACAGAAAGGGATTTATAAAGAGTTGGGTCTGCTTTTCCTGGAAGAACTGAAGGGTCCTTAGTTCCAAGCTGTTATGTATGGCCATTGGATGCACGATTTAGGTCATATTCTACAGCATGAAGAAATCAGAGAGACGGAAGAGTGAGGGGTGGGAAAGGCGTAGTATAGAGGACAAAGGTCAGGCATACACATTATAGTCAACGATTTAAATAGCTTTAGTATGACGACAGAGTGATGCCATGTTGTAAAGAGGACATGTGTGCTCACCTAAGGAACCGGGAAGATGGACACGGCCTGGAGGAGGGCAGCAGACTTGGCCAGAGGGGTCACTGCCTTCAGCAGGGTTTTCCAAGATTCAAAAGGTGCACCGGGGTCGGCCGAGTGGCGCAATGGTTAGGAACTAACTTGGGACACGAGAGGACCCCGGTTCGGATCCCACATATGAGGGCCAGTGACACTGTCCTCCACAACTAGACTGAAGAGCAAAACAACAGCAACTTGTCTGTTCCCCTTCCCCCAATTCCCCAATAAAAAAATCTTTAAAAAAAAAAAAGATGCACCGTTCTTCCCCAGCTGGTCAAAGGACCTCCTTAACAGACCTGCTTATCCACCTGTGTGTGCTCTCCTAGGACAACCTCCAGAGCTGATGGGGACCAGAAATTGGTAAGCTAGCAAGAGATCGAGTCAAGATTTGAGCATAGATCTCTGTCTCAACCTGCAGTACAAGAACCTTAACCACTGCACCCAACACTGCCCTCACCTGGCAGCATGAATTAGGAGAGCAAGGCAAGTAAATAATCCCAGTGGATGAATTTGGGAAAGCGGGAGTTTTTTTAAGAAGTCTACTTTATTTCTTAGTGAGATTCAAGAGGACAGTGCTTAATACATGAGTAGACTGCTATGAGAAAAGCCCAGTTAGAGAACTAGTTCAATCTTGGGAATTAAAAACACGCTTAGCGCAATAAAAATTCAAAAGAAACTGTATAAACAGCAGAACAGACACTCCTGAAAAGCCAATTGGTGCATTAGAAGATTAACCCATGCAAAACAAATAGAGGGAATTAAAGAGAGATGTAGAGCAGAGTGAGAAGATCCACTATCCGTCAAGTGGGGACACGAGAAGGAGAAAATGAAGCGCAGGGAGAGGAGAAGCAATAATAAAATTAACTACAGAAGCAAAAGATTGTCCTGAGCCAAGAAAAACTTGATCAAAGGACTCAGGTTCAGACTATGGAATCTCAAAGGTGAAGGCAAAATACTACACAAGGGAAAAATCTTACAGACAGAAGGAAAAGTTACCTACAAAATAAAGAATCAGGCTGGTAGCACACCTACCTGAACAATGAAATGCTAGAGGTAATGTTTTCAGAACTCCAAAGGAACTATGACCCTAGGATTTCTATTGGGTTGTCGGAAAAGTCATGACGCATTTTTGCAACGAAAAACATAGAAATAATATGTCATGACTTTTCCGACAACCCAATGGATAACCTAGTTGAACTTTCATTCATGTGTGAGGGGAAAAGAAAGGTCTTTTCAGATATAGAAAGATTTAGAAATTATATTATTTATGTATTATTCCTGAAAAAATTTATTTGCATAAGTACTCCAGACAAACAAAAAACAAAAGAAAATAACAAAAAATGACAGGACATGGAATACAAGAAACTGCAGCAAGCAAAGAAACCAGTAAAAGTTTAGTTCATTTAAAAAACCTATGGATTATGAGATTGAGTATTCATTAAGAAAGAAAGCTTTATAATTTGGACTAAAATTCCAGATTATTTTTAGAGTAATATGACCAAAACTCATTAAACAAAATCTGTTAGAAATAAAGAATTTGAAAAAACCATAATCATAGTGGGAGAAAAGTAAACAGCTCTCAAAATTTAATAAGTCATTCCATTAAAAAAAAACGATATAGAGGATATGAGCCACCAATTAAAAGTGTGATTTTACAGATGTAAACACCACTCTAAGCCCATCAGGAAAGGTGCCTCCTTTCAATTCCTCATGATTTTCAAAAATTGATCAAGTGTGAGCAAGGCCACAAACCCCAGAAAGTTCCAGTAACATTCTCTGCGTATGAAGTGCAGGAAACAATTACAAGATAATAAAAAAGAATCCTTAACCACTTAAATATTTTTTAAATAGAAAAAGCCCTAGCAAATCTGATTAAGGAAAAAAAAAGAGAGAAAACACAAATATACAATGTTAGGAATTAAAAGAGAGATATAACCACAAGTTTAGAGATTTAAAAGGCAACAGTCTGCTCTGTACAACATTATGCCAATACATATAAAGAAATGAAATGAACAGTTTCATAGGAAAATATAAATCAACAAAACCAAGTCAAAAACTTGTAGGAAAATGAAACGCTTATCATTGATCTTCCTGCAAACAAGTGCTAGACCCAGATGTTTCACAGATAAGTCTTATCAAATACTCAAGGAACAGAAAATTCCTATATATGATTTAATTTCCCCAAGCACAGTAAAAGTTAGTCATCTTTCCAATTCATTCTTTGAGAAAAAAATAACCCTGCTGTTAAAATTGTGAAACAGGGCCGGCCGAGTGGCGCGATGGTTAAGAATTGGCTTGGGACGCCAGAGGGCCCCGGTTCGGATCCCACATATGAGGGCCAGTGACACTGCTCTCCACAGCTAAGAT